GGCAGCATCGATGGACTCAAGCGTGGCAACAGTAGTGAGGTTGGCCCAGGATCGGGCAGTGTTTCGTTCTGTTGTGCACAGGGTCGCTATGAGTTGGTACCGACTCGATGGCACCTAATAACAACAACAATAACTATATATATAGTATATAGATAGATAGATAGATAGATAGATAGATAGATAGATAGATAGATAGATAGATAGATATACATATGTATCTATTTATGAGGGTCCTGGTGTGGCACTGTATGACAAGCACTGGACTGTGAACCACAAGGTAGGCAGTTCCAACCTGCTAGCTGCTCCTCAGAAACCCTATACAGGGTCGTTATGAGTTGGAACTGACTCTATGGCACTTAACACATCTATCTATCTAGTCATCTATCTATAACATGCTGTAAAAGAAAAGTTTATACAAGGTTAGCTAGTTACCTTAGAATAACACTTCAAAAGTTCAGAAAGGTATCAAATTTTTATTTTCTCCTAGTAAAAGAAATCAAGCAAAATAAAAATAAAAATACTCATGCAAATTATCAACTAAAAATATTCACAAGGATTTCAGACCTTCTATAAAGGATAATTCAAGGTCTGACTCAAAATTGTGGAACTACAGGAAACAGGGCTGATCTAGGAAATAAAAGGATGATTAGGAAACCATTAATCACATCATTGGACTTCTGAGCACATCAACTGTGATTGGATCTTGTAATCAAGTATTGTACATTATAGCACCAAACTCAGGAAAAACCCTCTGTAAGGGATAAAAAATGTTGGAAGACCATAATTCTTCCTGCAGTAGAATAGATATAAGTACACACACACACTGTATGTTCCTTGTACTTCCTGGTCAAGAAAAACAAGTACACTTCTGTTTTCAGACATATTAATGGCACCACTGGCATTCAAGTGTCCATCTTCAAATTTGGACACTTCAAATGTACTATGCAGCAGACAGGCTTTAAAAAATGTTTTCATAAATTAGGCCTTAGAGGAGAAGCCTACAAACTTCTTGGAACATAACAAAGTTCTGAGACCTTTGGAAATCAATTGATTCCTTCTTCAGCAAATTACTCATTGCTGAATTTTCTTTTTTCCATTCCTTTCTTTGCATTCTGAAACTTGCTCACTCTGTTATACAAATGCATTTCTATGTCTGTCTTGTCAGTACTCTCAATGCACTTTGGTATTCATTCTATTCTAGTATACAAAGGAAAATGCTTATATGAAAATACACAGATGCCTTATATATGTGTGTGGTTTTTCCTTTCAAGGAGCCAAGAATAACCAAGAAAATCAGGAAATCTATGATAACTCATACTGTGAGAAGCGTTTTACTATTTTATAATTTAACAACATAAATTTCCTATTGTTTGTTTTTCATCTTCCTATGGAGTCCTGGTGTGGCGCTGTGGGTTAATGCACCAGACTATAAAGCCATTTGAACTGCAAGGTCGGCAGTTCAAGCTCACCAGCTGCTCCTCGGAAACCCTATACAGGGACGCTATGGGTCAGAACCCACTCGACGGCACTTAACAACAACAACAACTAATATATATATTTTTAAAATTTCAAGTACTCATTTAGAGTTAAAATGAAGACAGGCATACTTGTGTATAACCCTTCCACACATACAAAGGCACACATATATTGAAGAAAAGATCTATACCCTAGACCAAAAGAATGCCGTGCATAAAAACCATAAGGTTAATTCCATTTTTACTTTTCCTGATAGAAGAAAAGAAAAAGAGAAGTGTCATAAATCAGAATCATGTACAATGTAAATCACATGCACTTTTATACCTTCTAACATTTATAACAACATTTTTATATTTAAGACCTTTATTGGAATATAATTCACCAATCATAAAAATTGCCTTTTTAAAGCACATACAATTCAATAGTTTTTAACATCAGACTTAGGGACAACTCCTACTTGTCCTTCAATTTCATGTAAATTTGCATTCACTTTGAACCAATTGAGCCAACCCTAACTCTCAACAAATTCATCACAATCACCTTCACTTGCTGCATGTGTAGTTTTTAAATCACTGTAAAGTTGTTGTTGTTGTTTTTTCATTTATTTTTTTTTAATGTTTTATTGTGAATTATGTGACAGTTTACATGGGAAAACATTAGTTTTACATTCATCCTATCGTATATTGTTTCATTGCTATGCTTACAATCCCCACCTTGCATCATCAACCAACCAAAGGGTATATATACCCTACAAGCCTGCCTCCCAGTCACTGTAAAGTTTTTAAGCCTTTTCCTGCACCAAAGTAAGGCTGAGTAACAATTTTGTACACATTTCAACTT